AAAAAAGTGGAATGCGCGCGCGCTTCAGTGGCAAGTTGGCGCGAATTTTGCATTGAACGCTCTAGTTTTAGCCGCAGCAGTGCGCGCCTTGCTATAGCATGCCATATTCTGCTTTAATTCTCCACTTGGTCAGATTAGCCTACTGACCGTTGTGTGACGAGCGCGAAGGTCGGCAGTCGAGTGTCGAGAGATCGATGCCGCAATTAATTGCTTTCTCGTGAGTCACGAACGAGATCGGCTGGCAGCTCGTGACCTTGTGCGATATAAATTTGAACAGAGTACGAAGCAGAAGAACAGATGGCATACGCACTTGAGACGCGGGACGCCCTATAAGTCCACGTGGACGCGAGCCCGTTTGGCGGGAGAAGGAGTTGAGGACACGTTAGCTTCCGAGGCCGCAGCACACACCTATATTCCTGCTAGTGTGTATGCCAGTGCCCCGATCTTGCACTCGATATGACGCTAACTCGAGAACCAGTTGAACCGGTTCTCGATATGTGATTTTACTACCACCCCCTCGCTCCCTCAACTACCTTGTCTCGACGAGCCCAAACGCGCGGAAGGATATTTCGGGAAGTGGATAGGCGTGCGTCTTTGTCCTCATCGACTCAAATATTCAAGTCTAGCCGTACGTGTGTTGGGCTATTATACCTGACGATCCATAAACTTCTCTTTTCTCATTACACACTGCTGTTGAATAGTCGCGTGCGAATATATATTTAGCGGGATTTTACGGTACGCGCTGATAACGTCACAACCCAGTTGCCGATGACTATTTTGAGGAGCGATCGATATAAAACCGAATGAAACGTTAGATGCACGTGCACACAATTTGCGCAGATAGGTACACCCAGAGAGATCGATATATACACATAAATACGAGATTTTCTATATCCCCGCAATTTGTTACCATTTTACGTTGCTTTCTATGCTAAAGGCGATGTTCAATCATTTATTTTCGCCTTTCAACGTAATCACCACGCTGCTCAATTAATTAATTAATTAACGACACATTGTAGGATTCACTTCGAAATATTATTCCGAGGATAATTGATCAAATATTTTTTGAGAACGCTGATGGATACAAATATAATGAAATTTACGTCTCTTTGCTAGGCTTTACGCAGCAAAGTTTCATATCGAATATGTTCCTATAAAGCTAACTTGTAATTTTATAGCATAGTTTTACGTGTATTAGTATTAATTGAACATATTTTAAGCTGACCAACAAACTGTTAACCAGCTGACAATACTTATTTGTCAATGTACACGAGAAAAAGGGCGAGTTAATGTACCTTAATGAACCTACAATCACACAAACATATAAAGAAGATCGTTTCAGAATGGGTAATGAGGCTATGTGAAAAATCAACTAAAACTTGGGTAAACTGGAAAGACCAGTAATGAAATATCAAAAAGTGAAGTATAACGATCTATAGTAGATGAAGAAAGCAGTGTGCAAGTACGCTTTTCAGCAGTCAATTTATATCAGAGGTAGATCTTAAAATATCTACAGTGTAAACAAAAAAGCTCATGATACGAAATTGCGCGCGCTAAAGTTTTCAATATCTTTGGAAAAGTATCGGGAAAAATATAGTCGACAGATTTCTCCCAAGCCCTTAAAATGAACAGCAAGCGAAGATAATTGCCATAAAAAGCGAGAAAGCATATCAATAGGAGAAGAAATAAAGAGAAATATCAATTTCTAGGAGAAAGAAATGTTTCGCTCAACAGAGTTCGCTCTGTCGACGACGACGACAATAATAATGAGCGGATTGTTAATTATGAGCCGAGGGAAGAAAAAAAAAAACGTGCTGCCTGACGTTGTTGCCCAAGTCTTCAATCTTTCAAGACGCTCGATTCTCCAGCGATAACAAAAGGACGAGGCAGCGTCGAATAAACGGTCTGAAAGGCTCGTCCCTCTCATTCTCGCCGAGAGGAGTTGCCATCCCTTACTATTATTTTTGCTCATCCTTTGGCTTCCATTATCTCCCACGTGAAAGAAATCCAGACGGAGCAACGAGGAACGTTAACGAATAAGTAAATGAGCGTTGTTGCGATAGCAACAAAAAATAGCAAAGTTTGCTTGCCAGTTAACAGTCGCTTGTATTCTTCTATAATCACTACTTGAATGTCAAACAACTAGTCGGAGAAAGGCTAATTTCAAAGAATTGCCTGCGATATAATGAGCTTTGAACAAAAGTCAAAACAAATCCACTATGGAGAAAGAAAACTTTGTAAGGCCCGAGAGCAACAGACTGCGAGTATAGAAATACGAAGAGCGAGTAAAAAGAGAAGTAAGGGAGAGGAAGAGTACAATTACTGCGACAATAACTTCAGATTAGTACAAAGTAGTTTGCGACGATTCGAGCTGTCTCGAATCGTCGATTTCCCCACAGGAAAATCCATCGTACAGACAGCCTGCAGAGCTCCGTGATTAAACAGTACTCGAAGCGTAGATTAACCCGCAACATATTCAACTTCTTTACTAGCTTATGTGGACTAACCAAGTCAATTTTTTTCCAGATGGACCAACCACCAACCGAATAACATATTTGTTTCTGATCAGCTCGACATTGTTTATCATATTTCAATGAGGTAAGTTAGATACTACTTCCTTGTATTAGTCAATTTGAACTTGTCAATACACTTGAACTTGAATGCCAATTCAAATTATACGGCAATGAATAAGATATTAATGGCCGATAAGTTACAAAAATAATGAAAGACCCAGATCACAGATACAGATGATTATCAATTAAGAACATTCCAAACAAAGTATTGAGCTATTTATATCTCCTTTGGACAGCTTCACAGTGTAAATGAAAAAATCGAATGAAATTTCAAGTTGTATGCTTGATTACATCGAGTCTATTCATACTACGCACACCCTATTTGTCATTAAAGACCTTGTCACTTAAATGTATATAGTCTCTGCTCATCTGTTTCCTTAAGAGAGTGTGATTTGATATGCATCCTTTGAGTGTTTTGTGTCAGCTGCTTAAATATTTGGTAATTAAATAAATTTGCAAGTGACACTGACTGATCGAACTTAAACGTCGAAGAAAACACGTGAAAAAAACTGTAACACTAAACGATTTGATCGCATGAAAAAAGAAAGCTTTATTTGAACAAGTTGTTACATCGTTGGTTCTTTTGCTGTTTTTCTTCACTGATTCTCGACGAGCGTATACGAAGAGCAAAGAAAAACGATCGTAATCCAGCAGCAACCTTCCCATTTGTAGAATTGCTTTCTTTTCTTCGCAGTAGTCAATACAAATAAATTGATTCGTAACATAAGAATCGGATCAAATAAAAAACCTCTTCGTAGAGCTTCGCGCAAAGAAAGCGCTTGAAAGATGAATAACGGAACGAGAAACTAGCTTCTCTAAAGAATTTTTACTAAAAAAAGTAGTCAGTCTTCGCTTTATTGACTACAAGTATAGTCGTGTATAGAAAATGGAGTGTAGACGCGGGACCGTCATGTCTGCAGGGCGGCGGCTGTGCGCGCCAGAGAACGCCGTACACCTGATGGAGAATTGCGAGAGAGCAATACACATATAGACACGCACACTCGCGAAAGAAACCCCGAGAAAATGTAACGGCTCATTATCCCTACTACTCGCCGCGTAGACACTACAGTTTCTGTTCGCTGTCTTCTCCTCCCCCCCTCTCTTTCCTTTACCTTATAGATCTTAATTCACGCTAGAGATAATGATTTTACGCGTTTATCTGTACTAGCCACTTTATTATCAGCTAACCTGTACATAAATTGCTCATCAGCTCCGCTCTCTATCGTCTTTGCAAATGTTAGTTTCAATTAACTTGTACAATGTCAAATGATGTGATTTCGTTTCATATACGGGCAGCGTGTACTGTTTTTAATGAAAAATGAAGCAGTGAATTTACCGTCGTTTCACGTGTAACCTTGAGCGATACGAATACAATTACTGTACTCCGAACTAGTAGAAGTAAATACAAAACTCCAAATTATCCGAATTCCAATACGCTACAATTTTATGCTTGTTTATCAACAAAAGAGTTTTCTATTGCGAACATACAGACGTACTAAATCCAGTTGAGTGAAGGTAACCCCACTCTAGGTATCACGTACATACATACATACTTTAAGCCGATTTGATCTTTTCGCAACGACTGCCGCGTAACGCAAGTAAACGAGCAGGCGACGGCCGGGAAAGTGCACTACTCGAATCGGCGTCTCCGCTCCGTGCAACCGACAATCACGCGGCAGGCTTTCGAACCGATTGCGAACTGCAATTTTCATGTGCTGCTCTCTTCGTCGCTTTATCGCATGCGAGATCGAGATGCTGCTTTTTTCGTGACTGCTACCGCTCCAGCTTCATGGAATGCAATACATAGTCTCGAACAAGAGCGACTTCCTCTTCGAGAACCGAACAAAGCTAAACAAACGCTTTAAGGAAATTTTCTGCCGACCGGACTCCCAAGTTTTTTTGAATTACTGTACACTTTCAATTCTGTTCTACATACCTTTTGCAAAACGCAGAATAAAAATTTTTACCGTCAAATTGGTTCCACGAACTTGAGCCAATGGTATTTCCAAGTATTTTCAAACGTGCTCGCTTTGCAGTCACGCTTATCGATTTAGTTTATTTTCTTCAAAAGTTAAACATTCCAATGAAATCTTATTATATAAGAAAACATAGATAAATAAAAATTATACAAAAGCAGTTTTATTTTGAAGCAGAAAATTATGATGCGACTGAACGAAGTACATAGTATAGATAAATCGAATCATTTTCGATGAATGTATAATTCACGAAACGTTATCAGTATAGAGCGCTATGGTAATAATACAATCCATTAATAGCGCTGTATTGTTTACGGTTTCCGTCAACACAAACTACCGATCGCCCAAATTAGTTAGTGAAAAAAACGGAACACAATTGACCGGAATCTCCAAAAAATTGGCTACAATTTTTGTACGCAACTATCAAGATTAAAACTGTTAAAAAACAAACCTTGAATCGACGCGACGCCCACGATAGCCAGCAGCAGCACTCCGTTGATAATGTTGTTGAAAATCATCTTGGCGGAGATCGTTCTTGTAGTCACTAGTAACGCGTGGTTCCTCGATACGTGGAGAACAAAACTTGCAAGTTTCGCACTGACACTGAGCAAAAAAATTCGAGCAGATATCTCTCAAGCAAGAGATATATACGAAAAGATCTCACAAAACTGCTTTTATAAGTCGCAGAACTATAATTATACAATCACAAAAACAGTGCAGTTGACGAACCAAGATTAACTGGCGGTGTAAATGAAGTACGTAATATGTCGTGGATGAAAACAAACAAGCGGTGCGCACAAAGCGCAGCGGCGATCGGTTAACCGAACGGATGTGAAGGTATAACAGGTAGGCAGTATAGGTGCTCTATCTCGCACGCTGTGATATAAACTGTGTGTGCCCGAAGCAACAGCGACCGATCGGCTCGACGCGCAAAGACCGTCTGACTGCCAACACTGCCGCGCTTTCCTTTCGGCACGACTCGTACGCGTTCGGCTTCCATGGCACGAAGACGCCCGAGCGCCGCGGCTCCCCTCCGCACTCAGCGTATTCCCGCGGCGGCATCGTATAAGCGCGCCGCGATACTCTACAATCACATAGAGGTTGCAATTAGTTTCTTTTCTTTCTTTACCGATTAAACAATTATTTTTATTTAGCTGTTTTTAAGCAAATGATAATTCAAAATTGACGAATAATTAGTAAATTTGAAATCGATTCATAGAGTATAAATTAATATTTCCATATCTAGATAAGTTTTTATGGTTTATAGCGATGAATGGATATTCGAATATTATTATGACAAATACACCATTTATGTAATTTGTGGAAACCTAGATATCTACAGTACACTACAATGAAGAAAATACGTACAATGGTTGGCCTAGATGAAAGATAATCGGTATGCACTTGAAAAATCAAATAAAATCAATAAATTTCCATATATAGAATACGATTAATAATTGTAGAAAGTTTTTGTACAGAAATTTTTTTGGTAAAAATATCACAATTAAGCTTGTTTCCCAGATGCTTCCTTTGTTAATTTATATAATAAATTATAATATAAAATCTAGGAAACAAGCTCCAAAACAATGTTTTTTTGTGCATTGGGTATAGTCACTGTGAAATTGATTATTTCCGTCAGACGACGATCTTTAGTTGGATTAAAAAGATAGTCACTTGACTTTCAAAGCTTACATCTTTGCGAAAAAAATCACATGAAAATATGACTTAAATTGCGTTGAGCTAAGATCTTGCACATCGATTGATTCATCAGCGGTATGTTTAGACTAATACGTAAAGATATGACGACAATCGGAAAAAAAAACATCACGGACACAGACAACTTCGCACAAATCAATTTTTTTATCAGAAAAACTCAAATTACCGAGAAAAATGCAACTTATAATTCAAAGTCTTTCTGAAGTAATTACGGTGAAATTAAAAAAAAATTAGTTTATTTGCAAACAGCAATCTCTGAAAAAAATTATCTAGTTGATGGCTTGCCTAATAACATTTGAATTTGATGCAAAACATTGAAAAATTTTCGAGATTTTTTATTTTTCATGAATTGTTGAAAATGATACTTAGAAGTTTTAATTGTAGTGTTTTAATTAAGTGTAATTTGTTGCGCAGTGCATTTTTTTTTGAAAATACTATTTTGTTTTAGCGATTTAACAGCGATAAGCTGTAACTATAACTGTTGGTGTCACATTACTCTCAAGCTACTCTATATACTAAGACTTTAAGGCCAAAATAAAAAAATGCAGCTTCATTTCAACGTATCATGCTCAACTTTGAGACACTAACATTGAGTAATATGTTAAAAAATTTATTAAAAATTAGAAGGATCGAAAGCTTTTCAATGTTTTACATGAAATCCGAAAGTAATTAGACAAGCCATTGATGAGATTTTTTTTCAGAGATTGCTGTTTTACAAATACACTATAATAATAATAATTTTGAATATATGTTGCGCGTTGCGAAGTTGCGCGTGTCTGAAATGCGTGTTTTTTTTCCCGATTAGGATCCACAACTGTGTTAATTGGTCTATATCTAATAGCTGACGAATCAATCACTGTGTAAGATCTTAAGTTTCAACGTTATGTAAGACCTACTTATGTGATTTTGTTTTCTAAATATATGTGCTGTGAAAGTCAAGTTACTATAATTTCCAAGCTAATAGTAATGTAGGAATTTTTGAACTGATACCTAAATTTCCAGAAGGGAAGTTTTGTTAGTTTTACTTTTATATCTTTAATGTTTAACTTGATTGAATTTGGAGCTTTGATTTAAAATTTTAAGCAATATAGTTGGAAGTTTTCAAACTAACAATAATAAAAATATTATATACTAAAAATAAGAATGTACTAATTGCGATATGAATCCTCATGTGTTACCACTTTTACTACATACATTATTTATTTTAATAATTACAGATTGGTATCGTTTTTGTTTAGCTTGTTGAAGATTTTGATCTTGAACATAGTGTGTTCACTATGCTGACTTACTACCATCTAAACAATACATATGTTAAAAAAGGGATTGAACTGAAGAAATTTTCTAATTTTATATTTATCATTCCATATATTTTTCGTAGATATAAGTATAAGTATATTGCAGACTGAATTTTACTTAACAGATTTTCTAATTAAATAACATGTTGTAGATTTTGTAAAGATAAAAAATAATTTTGAACAAGCAAATTTGGATGAATATTAAAGGGATTCCTATATCCATAAAATAAATAGTTTCTACATTACAATAAAATTTTCTGAAAGTAGACGAATTATGTTAGCACTTGTCTATTTGCTTCCGAATACAAATCGACTTCATAATAAATGTAATATCTGCAATAAGCCAGACGTGAAATTCCTTTTTTTTTAAAGTATACTTATATATAAGCAATTATCTTTACACAGATAATTATAATGCAATCCATTGAGTTCGCTAGATTGTCTTTCTTAATAAAATTAAAAAATTAGTGGATGCTACAAATTATTTCATTTTTCATTATTTACATAGGTAACTTTTAATTTCACTAAAAATAATAATCAACTTTATCAAATACCATATAATACTTTATATAATTTAATTAATTGTTTCACTCTTTCTACAAAACTTTTACTGTAATTAATATGAATAATGTGTTATCACCAATCGTGATTTGCAAATACGTATGATGTGAAATAAACGTTATTTTGTAATTTTAAATATTTATATTTATAATTATAAGCCTCCTACGAAATAAAATTATGATAATATTTTTTATTACATGATACACGTTTTTAATTTAATAAGACACTAATTGTATGTACAATTCAAATAAAATTTTGCAGATAATTGTACAGTTCAAATTATAAAATTAATTATGGTATTTTAGTTTGCGAAAGATAGTTTATCATATATTTGACAGTACATATTAACACATGCCCAAAAGAAATAATGCAATTGTATTTCAATACGTTTATCAGTTAAAGTATCATCTAATTTAGATATCTTACATATTAGATCTAAATATCAAATATTGAGCTAATCTATTATACTCACTTACAATGTTTTTGTTGACATGAATAATCAAAAATCATGATAGGAATATAAAATTTTATCTTAAACATTTTTTATAGTAGAATGTAAAAGAAACATTCAGGAGGTTTGTAAATATTATTTAAATCATAAATGACATAAGAAATAATATGAGTCCTTTATATCTTGGAAAAAAATTGTTGATACTATTATTACAAATTTTCCTACGAGAGATTTATTACTGCTTTTGTAGTCTTTTACAAAAATATAATGAAATATGTGACAGTAGCACTTTAATTTAATATGCGTTAATTTAAATATAATATTTCATATAATTTTTAGCCAAAAAAGAATAAAAAATTAGTAAATTTTAATAATAACATTCTGATTAACCACAATAAGCAAGTAATTATAAGTATCATTTGCTTGGACGTTTAGCTATAACTAAGATATAATCATTTCGTAGATTTTTTCTGATTGTTCGTATAAAATTGTACATTACCTAACTAGCGTAAAAAATTGGATTCTTTTTTCGTGTGAGATTTACGTTCGAACGAAACGAGAGTGGAAAGACCCACGCGAAATGAGAATCTACTTTCTCGAATATGTCAGGTACAGTATTTTTCAAACAACGTATGGAAAGCGCGAATTCAAGAGCACGTTTTTCGCTGAGCGTGCGGTAAAATTGTACTTTCCGGGTGGCATGTTGAAAAATACAATTTTTTGTTAGTAAGTTCACGTGAATTTGTATTATAATGATGAATTTAATGCACTCATATAGTGTTGGTATCTGATTTAGTTGTTGTAAGTTTTTCAAAATTCATTTAACGCTTGAGAGTTCTTAATGCATGCTATGTATAAAAAAATTATTTAAGAATGATCCCCAAGGTTTTTTTTACGTTTCAATCACTTCTAAATTCATTTTCTTTTGAGGATAACTAAACAGTCACTCCAATACTAGTATATTTACAAAAATATAATAATGTTATGAAAGTTATGAAACTGAGTACATAGTACTCAAAAAATAGCAAAAGCAAAGTCAATACAATCAAAATTCGGTGATCATATTCGAACGACTGATTGACGAGCTTTTTTACATCGACTTAATTCAAGAAAGTAAAACTTTTAGATGTCCATAAAGTGTTGAAATTCTGTCTATTAGTCACTTTGAAATAAAAATACGTTTTGTGAGAAACTCGATAACTCAAAAATTTATAGTAAATTGATCAGTAAATTTATATTTACTGATTATTAATTATTAATCATTTATAATAATTAATGTTCGTGAAAATTATCGAAAAAATAAATGATCAACAAGAATTTGTATCCAATCAAATAGAAGCTCCAGTACATAACAATATTTGTATGCTTATAAAGTATTTAAAAAAACGCATTTGAAATATTTCAAAGAGACATCTAGAAAGTCTCAATGTTGATACTTTGTTGCTCGCAAATACGTTTACTTGACACGCTTTTGCTGCCTCTGTCTGTATATGTCATTTGCAGGTGGTGGAGGTAAATCTTCTTCTTCACTATCATCACCGTTACCTAATCGAGTTCTTTTTCGCTTGTTGATAATGCTATTACCATCCGCAGTTTCGTCGACAATCCAATGAACAGACTTAGCTAAGTCAAACAATTTTGTATCGCAGCCGTTATCAGCCATAGGCAAAGGTGCTAGAATGAAAAAATAGAGTTGACATACAAATTCATATGTGAAAATAATTATCTTGTATATGAACAAAGTACTAATATCATGACTCACCATGATCAGGTAATTGAATCCTATTAAATACGTCTACTAACATGTCAACTGAGACAAATGGTCCTCTGAAACATCCTGGTGGTGGTAAAATGGTACATAATTGAGCCGCAGCAGGAGGTAATGGAAATGATCCACCTTCAAGTAAATTATATTTACTTCATGTTTTCTTGAATATATTTTTTTTTCAAATGAAGAAAATATAGATGTATAAAGACAACAAACGTTATTTGCAATCACCGGTCATAGATATAGCAAAAGGTATGTTTAAATAAAAATAGGATAAAAATAAGATTGGATTTTATAAAGTATTATTGTGATCAATTTTCCTGTGATATGAAGGTTTCATTAAACAGTTATATAGTAATTATATATAATTTTATATTAATCTGTTTCTTGATAATTAAAATATATTAAATAAAAACTAATATAACGTTTAAGTGCATGTAATAATTTATAGATAAATAAGGAATTTTATTGTATAATAAAAAATAATCGTTGAAAATGTTCTTCATAAGAAATTATGTATGTAATATAAGTTTTAAAACATAAAAGAATTGCTGTATCTAATAAGGTTTCGATTACGTAAAATTTAAGCATCTAACACTGGTAATTTTGGAGTACAAATTATAAAATTAGATTCACACTTGTTTTTCTGGATTCGATAAAAACACTGTATTCTATTACTTAAAAATTATCTTTAAACACCGACTTTTTTTTTAATCAGATTAATTATTGGTTAATTAGTTAAAAAGGATAAACATTAAATACAATTAATATTATTTCAATATATGAAATTGAAAATGTAAATGACTGTCATTGAGCTTTAACGTCAATGCGGAATCGAAAAAAAGATTTTTTTATCGTTGATGATACGAAAATATGTCTTATAAATCTAACAAATACATAAAGTGCCATCGATATTAAATAGTGGTTAAGTAAATATAATTTACCTGGAACCGGATGCTCTCCCGGTAAAGGATTTACTTTCGGCTTGAAAGGTATCATTTGTGACAAATCCGGCCTTGGCAATGCTGCAATAACTTCTTCTGTATCTGAAGCTCGCGGCAGTGGGCACGATGTATTTCTACTAACGCTAGATACTTCCACGTAACCAATTGATCTCAGTTCCATAGATGTACAGGGGTACAAGTCCAAAAATTTGTATCGATCGACCAATTGTGCTGTTTCTTTACCTTCGAATTCCTTAATCTATGGATCATTAAAACCACATTAACGACTCATCAATATCTTTGAAAATAACAAATATAATATAAATACATAAATCCCTAACCTTTTCAAGAACGGCACTTCGTCTTTTTTCGACTTTGACGATACTAGCTAAATCCCCAATATTTGATTCGAATTCCAGAAAACGATTCCATATGTCACTGTAATTAGAATTCATAATAAAAATGTCACTCGTTGAAAAATTACATCGATTTTACGAAAAATATGAAAGTACTTACACAGATTTCTCTGGTTCTAAACTGCCTGATGATAATACTCGTTCAAACAGCACTCTAGTGTTATTGTCCTCTGAAAAAATAAAGCATTTATATTTTTAATAACGAAATTTCAGAAAACACAGTAAGAAAAAGTGAAACTCAATGTACCATTCAAATGTGACAAGTAGTCAATGTAACAGAGAATGTAATCTGGGTTGTCACCAAATTTTTTTAAACCAAGCTCAAAAATTCTAAACGCTATATTCTTATCCTTGGTGCAGTAGTATTCCATCAATGCAGCCGCGACGAATACGTGAAATTTACATCTCTGGTCTTCTCTTGCACGTTTAAAAACAGTTCTTGCTGACTTGATGCCTTCAGCTCTTCTGGCGAATTTCATATACTGAACGTAAGCCTGTAAATTAGAATTCAGATTACTTATGATTCGGTTAAACTGTCAGCTAATAGTAAATGGTAACTATTACTAAATGTCTAAAAATTTACATTGAAAAATATTACATAGGTTGTTAATACGCTCTTTAACTTGATGCAAAGTGCTTTGTGAGACTATAAATAAAATTTCTATTACTAATAAGGTCAATTTAAAAAAAATTAATAATAATGAGCTTGGTTAGCAAGTGAAACAAATAATTTTCGACACTTACCAGAGTAGGATCTATGTCTGCAATGTCGAGAAACTTTTGATAAATTTGATGCACCTTGTCGTACTTAACTCGACCTTCTTCAAAATCAGCATGAGCAAAATATAATAACATATTTTTTGACAACAATGTGCTGGTTGCACGCTCGAACATAGTGGCAGCTTCATCGCTCAAATTTTTCGCCGCATTCACGTCACCTTTCTCCGTAAGAATCTTTGAACTAAGCTCGAGAAAATGGGCAGCCTGATGCCAAACAGCAGGATGATGACCGAGACAAAGCAAGCACTGCTCTATCGCGAACATGACTCTACGAGCAACCAGCGATGTGTCTTCAGTTCTCAAAGGATTGCTACGCTCCCAAGCTATATATTTTTTCCACAGTTCAACCTAAAAGTATTCAATTTCACGTATATCAGAAAACATTTTTTCGTCTACGCTTTAATGTTATTTTCATTCAATAGGTTCTTTTATTTTATCACCCTTATGCCATAATGCTGCTATTGGCTTATTCTAGAAATTATTCTAAAAGATCCGTATAACTGAACACAAATTACACTCACATAAACTTTCCTCCAGTTGACAGGACGTAATTTATATGTTTGATATTCAGCTTCAAACAAAATTACATCAATTTTGAAATGTTATTTCTTGAAGTTCAAAGGATTGATTCACGTTTCAAAATAATTTATAAGAGTTTTAAATAATAACTTAACGCAATGGGAAAAGAAACCGAATATTTTAATAATCCATGCAATATGCAAGACAAATTGCAGGAAAATTTGTTTAAATTAAATTAATTTTAAGAAGTTTCGAAAGTGTACACTCTAATTTATTATTTAAGTTATTTGTTATGTAAGTTTTACAGTTAACAAATTGGGCTATTTGTAATATAAGATGAATGAATGGTTGTTAGTAAAGTGTTAAATCAACTTTTATTTCCTTTGTTTTTTTTATTCCTTTGTTTACGTGAATATAAAAAACAGAACAATTATAGATGTCATATTCCATTTTTAGGAAGAATCTATTTCGTAAAATAGGAACTTGTAAGTTGCCCTATAACATGATATATTTTCAAATGAATACTATAATTCTAAGTCATTATTAACGCTGTTAAAAGTTAGCACTTTTACCCCTATAGTGTGGGCTTGAAGGGCAGTTAAGATGCTAAGGTAACACTCGAGTAGTATTTTAGAAGGATTCGCTGTTTTATAGATGATCTTTATGTTTTTAGGATTGCTCAATCCAATTATCGAGACTGTTGATGACACTATTAATAATTATAGTAATAATAATAATAATAGTTATATTTCCATTGTACAAGATGGATATTAACCAATGAAATCTAAATCAACTACTCCAACATCCATAAGGCACAAGCGCATATACTTGCACGGCTAGATGTCATATATTCTTATATTTTCTTATAGAATCGACTTACCAGGTTATATTTGAGATTAACAATAATTGTTAATTTTATTATTTTTTGCTTATTATTATTAAGAATTATTAATTACTAATATTAATAATAAGCAAAAAATATTAATAATCGTTATTTTGCAACTTGAGTTGTTATAAACAAAATGATTATCTGTGAACATGATATATGACCCATTATATTAAGATTCAGTGATCCCAAAAACAAAGATCAACCATAAAACCGCAGCCCTTCTCAATAATTAGGCAAGTGTCACCAGTGCCCGAACTAATTAATATACCAATCGCCAAGATAGGATACGCAACTAAATTAAATTATAATCAAAATTTTGTTCTGTAGGTTTTGTAACAGGTCCTTTAGGTCACAATCATTTTAAGATGGCACGGTCTACACTGACTGATCCATATCTTTCTCTAGACATAATCTATATATAAATCATCTTGAAAAAATAAATATGCAAGTAAATATCAAATTATTATAAGTAATCTAAAGGATCATAAAATACGTAATTTATAAAAATGTCAGTTTACAAAATATCATAAAGTGACAAAAATCGAATCACTAAGTCACCAATGTAATAAATTGAATAAATTCAGTGAATTATAATTATGCAAAAATTATGGGGTAAAACGAACATAACTCATGTTGAATTATGTAACAATCGACATATTAATAATTAAAATATTAAACTAAATTAAACTTATTTCAGTTAATACACAATTTATAAATGTATTGAGTATAAAAAGTGGAAGCAATATTATGATTTATAGGGTTAACAAAATTCAATTAAAATACAGCCCAAAAAATACATAAAAGGCCTTTTTTACTATTTCTATAATAATATACTAGTAAATATTTCTATATGATAAATAGCTGACGATATCGACACAAAACAAAGCTGATCTATACATGCGACACATGTGTTCCAATATATTATGACACGCTGAAGAGGGATTTAACGCAAGAATTCTTTATTCCTTTGTATGCAAATAAAAAAAACATAAAACAAAACAAAAACTAACTGGATAGTAATGCGTCAATTACGGCGATGGATTTGTACTCATTGTTAAAATACATGGGAATATATGTATTACATGTCCGAATCAGATTTTTTTGCTGTAATTGCATAATTTTTTTTTGCATAATAAAGCACAAAATATCGATTTCAGTCTTACCTAGTATGGAATTAATAAAAGTTTTTTAAATAAGACGAAAAATAAAAAAAACACTGTTTCAACTTTCGAATGCAAAAAAATGTTGCAAATTCCCAATAATTCCGTTTTATAAATTCATGTGAAATGATTATTGAACTTAAATTTGATTATCAGAAAAGACGAATGCACATGCCTGATTATAGATCAACATCAGGAACATTTGAATGAAAAAGAATCATGAAGTCACCATAGTAATAATTTTTTGTAATTTATTCTTATACTCGTTGAATAAAATAAGATTAAAAGAAATGTTTTAAAATTATAAGAAAGTTTTATTGAATGTTGTTTGAATGTAATGAGTAAGACAAAATGTTTAATTACTTGTTTAATTTCTTCGGGATGACCCGTCGGTGGTACACTTGGTGCGCTTCTATTCAGGCCTCTTGTTACTGCTTCCAATTCTTTAGCAACTCTTCTTGCATTCATGTAATCTCGAGACCGTTCTATCGCCATTTTTTCAGCAATTATAGGATTTATATTTTGTTCAAAAGCCATGTAATCTTTCCATAGTTGTTCCATGTTTATCATAGGATTTACCACACCTCTTTGATATACCTACATGTAAATAATTACATTTGATATTAATAATAAAAAAAGATCATAAATACTTATAAATATATTTATTTCAAAATCATTATATAAATAAAATATATATAAGAGAATGTAACGAATTAAATCAATTAATTTAATTATCAAATTAAAAGAATATATTATAGTTGAATTCTACTTTTTATTGCACTTGCATGGAGAAAATTATATTAAATAAGAACTTGTTCTTTATTTCAAGTCCATAAAAATTGATGTAAGATTACCTTGCGCACAGCACTTATTCTTTGGTTTTCTGCATATGATCCAACTGCCTCAACACTTTTTAGAAATACAACATAATCATTCCAAATGCTATAAGAATGTATATCCATTCCTATTTTATCCAAGGCGAAATCGTAAGCTTGCGCCATTTTTTCTCTGAAAATCCACACATAAATGTTTTATTTTTTTTTGAAAGTTAATATTTTTTACTTGAACAAAGATTATGATAGATAATTATAAACTACTATTAAAAAAACATTTTACTCACTTGTAAGTAGCAAGACTTGCTTTTGTTTCTTTGACATATGAGAGATATAATTTCCACAGATCAATATTTAAAATTTTCATAAGACACCTCTGGAAAAGCTGTTAGCAACAAAAAAATTAATATTCATTATTTTTATAGGCTATTGAAATTTCATGATTTTCTCCAATCAAAAAACTGCTTGCACCTCTTACTTACTCAAAAAAGCAAGTAATTACTCAAATTTTTCCAATAAATGTGGAGTTTGAACCATGTACATTACATAAAATATTTACATTCAAATAAATAGTTTTAGGCATATATTTTTTTTCTCTTGATTCCTTAACTTAACAATAACATAATGTTCATAATCAGTATAAGCAGGTAAGAAAAATGCACCTATACATCTTTGCAAATGCTTTATTGGCATGTATAAATTATTATTATTATTGATTGTAGGATATTGAGAAAAATTAAGTTCATATGTATACTCAGTTTTTGAATGGTATTTATTGATAAAATATATTGATATTAAATTTTCTAATTGCTATAGGGAAATTTTGTAGTTTAAATTAAAGTCAGACTGCGAAACAGCATGTAATGAAGTCATTGCACTTAGAATACACTTGATACATTCAGTCATAAGAAGCTTATGAAAAACAAATAATCAATTATCTTTTGTTGCATATAAAGTAACATAGCAATGACTCATAGCATGCTACTTCTAATAGAGACCATTACTTTTTTTGTAGGACAGGAAAACTAAAATAAATAAGAATCAATGTTACTAGTGATTTGAGAACTGGTGTATTGAAAACAAATACTTCCCAAATTGAGATTTTGTTGATTTTCTTACGACACGTCCAAGGATGAATTCAATGAAATTGGAGCTATGATGTAAGTAATAAACTCAGGAAGGAATACAAGGCTACTATGTTTAGAAGGTTATCTTCTCCTTATTTTTCATTCTGACTTATTTTATTAACATTTGTCAAAGTATGAAGTTAGAATATAGATGTAGCATAAAAAGAAAACAACCTCCCAAACATTATGTAAGCATAATAATTCATCAATAAAGAAAGTGCCTTTTCGTGAATATAAATTCTTTTATTCACTTCACATAATTTGCAAAGTGTATGTATCACATTTAACACTTAAAATTATGTAATTCACTTTGTCTGGAATGTACTCATAAGATTCCCATGATAACTTAAACATTAATTCATTTATATTAATAAGCAAAATGAAAAAGACTTTGCTCATATTGTTATTGCTCAAGTAATAAATAACTTTTTAAATTAAAACTCAATAATATATTTTTTATTGGTAATATCACAGTCTATGTAAAAGTAATATACTTTTCAAATTAAATATATCTTTGTAATATATTACAATAGTAATAGTTCGTAAACTTTTTCATTTTCCTGATTAGTCTATTTGAGTTTTTGGATACACTCATTTTATATTGTCATACCTTTCATACAAATACATTTAACTAGTAAACTCTGCATAAACATACCTTTTCCACTTTTTCATAGTTGCGTGATTTCATCTGGAAAATAGCAAAAGTAAGAAACCATCAATAATAATTAAAATTTTTTTAACTTTCCATGGCTTATTATTTTAAAAAATTTACTTCTTGTTCTATATAAATCTTCCAGTATCGACCTGCTGATGGAAAGACAGTGACAAGTTTTTCAAACACTGGACGTACTTCATTAATTGGTCTATTTTGTGCTTCTCTGATCAGCAAACTCCATGCTTCCAAGTCATGTGGAGTTTCATTGATATTCTTCTGAGCACGCTGTAGCTTTTCATTTCCCCAATCCTAAAAACATAATACTGTAGTATTTTTAATAACTTATAAATATGATTCAAAAAGATCCTATAATAGTCTCCAAAGAACTGAAAAAGCAAAGGAAACATTTTATCTAGTATAACAAGTAATTATAGAAGTTATTAATATTCTAATCATGTATCATATATAATATATATATGAACATGGGCGTATACACATACACATACACACACACACACACACGCGCGCGCACACACACACACACACACACACACACACACGTATTAAAATTAACATTGAGTATTTGTAAGAAATTCTAAAATAGGTTACACATTTTAATATATTATATTAATTGTAATTCAGTGCTTAAAATTATAAATAGATATATAAGTCTTTCAATCAGAAACAATGAAACCTTGAATTGGTTATTGTAAATTTAATTAATTAGTAGTAATTCTAATAAAAACTATTAATGGTACACCAAATTAATAAATGTTATGGTTTGTGCATAATAGCATTATTAGACTATGTTTTATTATACATAAGAGGTTAGTAACATAATAAAGTAATAAAATAAATAGTACTAATGATGCTTATAAAAGCAAAATAAATATTGTTATGCTTAATATTCATAACTGAATATGTTGCACTCTACTATATAAAATACCATAAGCAAGTATAGACAAACGTATTCTTATATTTAAGGTTAAGCAAGATTTGCGTCATAGTGAAAGCACGAAACATTGTATATTCTTTCAAATAAAACTGTACAAATTAGCTAATTGATATTGTAAATAAAATGAATGAATTCTTACAAAATCATTTTCAGCCATGGTTTGTAATTTTCGGTTGTTCCAGTTTAACGTGCCAAAATGACAAAATTACAGTAGAGTGGCGCGTCACTGTATTGATTTACGTAAAACGTAGAAGTATCTGATATCGTCAAGAATAAAACGAAGATACAATAGGCACTCAAAAATTTATTATGACTAAATCTCATGCACTAATATTGTGCATGAGAAATGAACTGCTGGAATACACACGTCGTTTCGCACAATTTTCTTGACTAGATTTTTAGCAGTTTTAGCTATGATGGCCGCTATGTACTATACTGGCGGTTGATGAAGAGCGAAGAGGAAACGCTTGGTCGCTTGCTTTGCTGCAGCAGTGCCGCCACGAGTGGCGTGTACCGTACCGTTGTGTGATGCCTCCACTCTGCCTCCTGTCTCCGAAACGCTTTTAACTTTGTCGTTTGGTTTAACTTAAAGTTGTATACGAAATGAAGCTACTACTCGCAGTGCTACAATTTGACTCACAATATGCTCACTAAGTGAGAATTTAATGCACGAAATCGTATCACATCTACATCATTTATACAGCTATGACCGATATGCTATGGGAATGCCGGCTGTGAATCTTGATCATAGTTATATAAACAATATAGATACGATACAACTTCATGAAAATAAAATTTTTTGTAACGCCATTGGATTCTCATCACTGAATGCAGCGTTGCCGTTGGAATAGTTATTTTCAGGGTCCCTAAAAATTATCCCATTTAGCATAATACAATAATTTCTAGAAACCCTGAGAAAAATTGTTTCAGTGGCAACGCTGGTCTAATGTATTGATTAGTAGTTTATAACAATCTACATTGTGATGAGAATAAAAATTAATTAATCTATTAATTGTAATTTATAAACCAGATGTTAGAGGCAGTAATTTTTTTATTTTAATATGTTATTAATTTAATTAATTGTACCATCTACTGATAAATTGGAAAACATTTTAAATTATATATGTTATATATATTAAATATTTATTAATTTATTAAATAAATAAATAAATTTACAAGCGTAAGTGCAATAAATTTTTTTATTTACTGAAAAAGTAACTATACGGAAAAAGTACATAAATGAGATTAATCAACTACAAAAACATATTGCCATGATTGCCATGATATTAATACCACTGCGCGACTACGTGTGCGCAGCTAGGGATTTTTAAGGATGCACAGTTTGAAAACAAAAGTTTATTAAGAAACGGTGGTATAAAAATACTTTTTATGCTACCGTTTCTAAAGGTTTTATGCTAGTATGTTAGTAATTATTTATTTAAGTATATATTTTCTAGATAAAAAGGAAATTTTGTAAATTATATATGGCTGAATTTTAGTTATTTTGTTTAGAATTTAAACACGAAACAGTCGACGGTCTTTGGGATATCGCGAAGAAGTTACGTGTCTGTTTTAAATGCCTTGGCGCCAGTCACTCGCGTTTCGACTGCAAATCGAAAAAACGTGCGATACCGACAACTGTGAATGATAGTACACGACAATCCAACGGACCTATGCGATCAGACGACCGTTGGTTTACAGGCCCTTGCTTCTTACGCGAATCTTCGGAATAGTGGCCGAAATCAAGAAAGCTAACCGAATCAGAAAAACAAGAGGCTAACAAGCTGGTAGCGCGAAAAGAATTTATAGGCACGCAGTTTGTCGATAATCCAAGTTCGCAGGAAGTGGACGTGCGGCTTCGAATCTTAGGCTGGAATAGGATCGTGAAAACAGCCGCAAGTGTGAGAAGAGCGTTTATCACATGGACCCGGAAAGTAAGAGCGAAAACGAACAAGCCGATATCGTCAAAGCAACCGATAACCGAGGAAGACGAAACAATTGCGCAGTAAACTCTTGAGGCCGAAAAAACTTGGTTCCGGATGATCCAACACGCGTACTTCCCGAATGAGCTCGAGGCTCTCCGAAAGGGCAAGGACGTAGCCAAGGAGAGTAAATTGATTGAGTTACGGCCATTCATTGATAGCGAAGGGCTGCTCCGCGCAAAGGGACGGGTCACGCGCGTGTGGGATAGTAAAGATTAGAATACGTCGCTGTAAATCACAGATTTCAAAAATCAACCGATAATCTTGGACGCGAATCACTACGCGAAAAAATTGCTTATCGAAGATTATCACCGGCGATATTTCCATGCTAACAACGAAAAAATTGTAAACGAGCTGCGACAAAGATTTTATATAGTACAATGGCTAAATAAAAAATGCATCGTTTACCGATTGAAACGCGCCGTGCCTCTAAACCCACCTATGGCTGACCTGCCCGCGTGTCGTCTAGCAACTGGACAAAGACCGTTTTCGCAGTGCGGGATAGATTACTTTGGGCCAATGTTCGTTAAAATAGGGCGAAAACGAGAGAAGAGATGGGGCGTCATGTTTACCTGCATGACCACACGTGCACTTAGAATTAGCACATACTTTAAGCGCGAGTTCGACGATCATGGCCGTGCAACGACTGGCAGCTAGGCGAGGGTTTTCGCGCGCAATGTTCAGCGATAACGGAATTAATTTCGTCAAGGCCAGCAAGGAATTCCGCGACGCAATCGGAAATATAGAGATCACAAAGCAACAACATTTTGCCGAAGTAAATAGATTTACATGACGATTTAATCCGCCCGACGCGCCACACACGGGGGAGCGTGGGAGCGTTCGATCCGGTCTGTTAAAGTAGCTATCGATTACGCGCTACACGGAAAATCGATAAGCGAAGAAGTACTCCTAACACTCCTAGTTGAGATAGAACACATGATCAACTCTAGGCCGCTGATACACGTATCGGTTAACCCAAATGACGAAGAGGCACTAACGCCCAACCATTTTTTAATTGGAAGCTCGTCAGGTCATCTCAAACTCGCGCGTTACGAGGACGAAATCCTAAACCCGCGACGCACCTTCGAGATCGTTCAAAACTGTGCAAAGGCCTTTTGGAAAAGATGGATTCGGGAGTATCTGCCTACTTTATTGCCTCGCAAAGCGTGGTATCGGTGTACACCCTCACTGCAAATTGATGACATCGTATTGATGTTCGATTATCAAGCGCCGCGGAACGCGTGGAAGACCGGAAGGGTAACAGAAATACATAGTCGGCCAGAGGGAATTGTTAGAGCAGCCACAATAAAAACGGGGAAAACGTTTTTGACAAGACCGGCTCATAAGTTAATAAAAATATTCGGTTTGCAAAACATGAAAAACTAGCGTAGTTTTTTACGGGGGGATCGTGTTACGAACGCTCAGCAAGCGATATGGTAGAAAAAACACTTGAAGAGGTGAGTATGAAGTTTGGATCGTTCACGGTGAAAGAAAATTGCGAAATTTCAAGTTTCAATTTTTAATACGATATATTTCTTCTTAGCAATACTATATTGATATGAATAATAATTTCACGTCATTAATTTAATTACTACCCCTATAAACTACCCTTAGAGTTACTGGCATATTAATGTTAGTATTTTACGTTGACACTTGTCAATACAAATAGATAAGAGACAGCACAATGATTTCCCGTTTAAGTATAATTGTAATAAGAGCGCGAAAAAAATTTTTCTGGTCGGTGCCTTCGTAAACTGCTCCTAAAGCCAATCAAACGACCACTAACAATGAATTTCGATATTTTTACGTTTTAATTTATAATTACCACGAAAAAATGCCGAGTGATTCATTACGTAAGATTTCCAATAAAAAGAAGACTAAAAAAGTTTCCTCCTCGGCGTCTTGGCAAACTACCTCTACACTACATTAAATGATCGCTAAACGTAGGCTTTTATTATCTTTTGTTGTACAATCGAATTACCATGAAATAATATAAATTATTTCGCAAGTGGGCAGTCTCACAAACCACCATCACAGCTACTTATAAATCCTATTTTTCAAATTATGCGTTTCTTTAATTGTTATGTTTAATTACTTTAAGTTACCATATTTGACTGAAAATTCATGTTGTAATATTTGTTTTTACTTATTGTGCGTATAAATCCGTGTCCTTAATCTCTATTTCTTACCCGGTCGGAAGACCCCGGATGGGATCCCTTATGAGGATCTTATGTGGGATCTTACATGGGATCCCATATGGGATCCCATCCAGGGATTTGATAGATATTTCCAAGTGGGATTCCATATGGGAACCCACATGGGACTCCGGTAAATTAAGAATGTATCCGAACTTCCTCATGGTATCCAACATAGGATTTCCAAAAATTAAATCCGCTAGTGAAATCCCACTTTAAATCCCGCGTGGTTTCCAAAACAAAATTGTTTTTTTAAATTCTTACAATTTACGTAGAAGAGAAAGAAAGATTTTTTCGTGAACGTAATATTTATTTATAAGAATATTTAAAGAAGTAACAATACATTACATAATCTGATTCAAATTCCATAAAAATGATATGACTTATTTAAAACTTTGTTATGTAACCGCTGCAAAAAAGTATTCAAATACCGATCTTAAATGTAATATATAAAGGGTAACCGTATTATAGAGCAACAATGGTCCACCACACTCTCTACTATTTTTATATTATCTTAACCTTCGCGCATCTTGAATAGCGTACCCAATCTCTCTTTTGTATAATTTTTTCCAAGAAGTTGCTAACTTTCCTGTTGCATCTATTGCATTGCAACGTTTCAGTAAGAGAACTGCAATGTCAAAAACATAGCATATGTATATCTAGCAACAATGATCGTGTTCACATATGATCAATTCTACAAAAAAGTTCCGCAATTCGGTACCGTATTCGCGTAATTTAAAATTAAAGACACGCACGTATAGTATTTTCTCTCTCTATATGTGACTAGAGGAGTCTAGAAATATACGTGTGCCATGCCGGACCCTATTTTTTCCGGCATTGCACACAAATATTTCTGAACTCTTAAAATCACGTAGAATGAGAAAATACCATACGTGCGTGCCTTTAGTTTTAAATTTTGCGAATACGGTGCTGAATTGTAAAATTTTTTTTTGAAATTGGTTATATATAATATACAAATTATTCATATTACCTTTGTCCGTTTGGAACATTTTGTCTTTGAACGCACGAAAACCATGTGACCCGAATTTATTCACTTAGATTGAAATAATCAATTAACCATATTCTACAGTTATTTTTGTATAGATTCAACGTGTACGCGAGATAATTACACGTATTTGTAAAAAAATCGATGTAATCAGATGAAAATTATCCGAGTAACAGCGAGTTTATTCTCAAAAAATAAATATAAATGTGTTTTGAAGTTTAACAGTCACTATATTTTCCTCAGAAACTTGACATTTTACAACGAAATGGTAAATGTAAAAAATATAGCGTTTACTATTGTAAACGTAATGGTACATTTTATTATTTGGTTTTTCAATTTTTGAAAATCATAAATCGATGAGTCTCGATTCGAAAAGGTTGAGCACTGAGCCCTTTATTGCATCCGGCACCTCAGTTAAAAAATAAAAACGTGAAAGTTCACACA